TGCTACAAACACCCTGCTGTATCCTGGCAGCCGCGGCAGCGCCTCGCCCGGCTGCAAGTGGATCTCTGCTAGCAGGAGCGCCGCCGGCTGCTGAGGGCGCTGTGCCAGCGCCCACATGATCGGGCCAGCGCGGCCCTGGCAATTCTGGAATGCCAGCAGCGCGCGGGCCCCGCGCCCCTAGGCTGGCGGCAGCCCTTGGCGGCGGCGGCTGTGGCGGCGGCCATCCTGCGTCTGCCCCTCCTGCTCCGCCTCTTCTGCCTCCTCTGCCTCCAACCCCTCCTGCGCCTCCACCTCCTCCTCTGCCTCCTCCTCTGCAGCGGCCGCCGCTGCTGCTGCGGCTGTTGCTGCCGCCGGTGCGCTGCGGTCGCGGCGGCGGCCGCGGCTGGCCGCTCGGCGAGGCCGGGGCACAGGCGGCTCACGCATGCCACGCTGTGCCCAGTACCCTGCCCGCGCCGTTGTGGTCATTGCGGCCTCCTCCATCCAGCTGGGCTGCCAGTCCACCAGGTAGAAGCGCTTGCCGCTGTGCTCGCGGTGGTCACGCACCTCGCGCACGTCGTACTGGCTGGACCTGCTGGGTGGGAACGGCGGCGTGCGCGCTGCTGCCGTCGGCGCCGCTGCTGCTGCAGGCGCGGCGGCCTCGGCCGCCGGTGCTGCAACTGCTTGCTCTGCCAGGAAAGACGCGGCTGCCGCTGCCGCCTCTTGGGAGAAGGTGGGGTCGGGTGGGGGCTGCCGGTCCAGCCGCGCAGCCGTGTTGGCGGCCTCTTCGGCTTCCGGCTGCGACGGCGGTGCCCCCGGCGCTGGTGCTGCCGTGTTGGCGGCCTCTGCGGCCTCCGGCGGTTGCAGCTGCTGCTGCGCACCCAGGCTGGGGGGCTGGACTGGTGGGCGGGGGTGTGGGGGGCTCAGCTGCTGGAAGCGGTCCATGAGCTGCTGGAAGGCTTGGTGGTAGCCGTGCTGGCTGCCTTGCTGCCAGCCCTGCTGCCAGCTGGCTTGCTGGCCTTGCTGCCAGCCTTGTTGGTGGCCCTGCTGCCAGCCGCTCTGGTGCCCCTCGCGGTGGCCGTGCTGGTAGGCCAGGTGGGGCGGGGGGAGGCCAGGTGGTGGGCCGGGTGGGAGCGGTGGTGGGCCGGGCGGGGGGAGGTGCCAGCCAGGCGGGGGCCGTGGCAGGCTGGGTGGGGGCAGGGGCGGGCCGGGTGGGGGCGGGGGCCAGGGTGGGTGGCGGTGGTGGGCCGAGCGGGGGCGGCATGGGGGTGGGTG